ATGTATTTCGGATGTTTGGTGACTTTAAGGCTAAGGCTAGTACGCTGGGCGAACTTGGGGAGTACGTTGGGCGTACTAGGCAGGTGGATCGCAGGCACCTCATGGAGTACACTAGGCATACTGGGAGTACGTAGGGCGTACTTCAGCCTCATGCAAACCTTAATTCAGGGTCTTGGACCCTACTTAATGATCTTAACTCAACTCCAACCCCTGTTAACTTCAGCCTCCATCCCATTAAACCCTAAATTCGAAACCCTAGCTTCCATTTGATCATTTTGAGGTTTTTGGTGTGAGTTTGGTGTGCCTTGGAGAAGGAGTTCCTTTTGGAAGCATTGCTTGCTTGGAGCTTGTGGATCCAAGCTCTATTCATCTTCATCTACTTCCAAGAGGTATAAAGTTTCTAATTTGATGACTCTATGTGTTAGATCTAGTCTAGAGTATGCTTTGGGTTTATTTTAGTCCTTAGAGTCATCCTAATGAGTATGAGCTACTCCAAGAGCTTAAAATGTTGGATCTTAGCACTTTTGAGGTTGTGGGTGCATAAAAATATCATCTTGATAGGTTTGGGTGAGTCATCAATAAGTTGGTGTTCATATTATGGGTTTAGAAGGATAAGAATTGGTTTTTGGTCCCCTTAAGGAATGCAAGGGAGTAAAGTTGGCAACTTTATGGTTTAATACCTTATCTAGGGATCAGATCTGTGTTTGGACAACTTGACTTAACCCAATACGAGCTTAATATGGATTTTTGGCCTCTGATAAGTACGATGGGTGTACGTAGGAGTACACTCAGCGTAATGTGTGTATCATGCATCGTTTGCTTGTACGTGGTGCTTCAGGGGCGAGCACGCGGGGCGTACGTTCCTGGTACGTAGGGCGTACTCCCTAGAGTGTCTATTTTCGACATTTTAGGGTTTAGGCCTTGTTGGGTCATTGGAGTTCTGACTTTGGGCCATAGATAGATTATGGGCTTTCTTGGAATTAGGTCCATGATGGTTTTTGGGCCCAATTAGGAAGTTGGGCCATATTGGGCCTTGGGATGCCATTTAGGAAATTGGGCTTTTTGAGCAAATAGGTTGGGCCTTGGTTTTGGGCCAAGTAATAAAAAGGTAAAATGGTCTTTTACCCTGGTCATTGGGCAAGTAATTTAGATTTTTGATTATGGGTCGAGATCCAATTATTAATTGGATGTCATTTGATGGTGCTAGCGCAACGGAATTTTCCGGATCAGCAGATCGAGATTTTATCTAAGACATTCAGCAGCTTGAGGTGAGTTTCCTCACTATGTTTAGCGGGTCGAAGGCACCAATACCGACCTATGAATCGTTATGTTTAGGATGCTACTTGTCTGCATGACTCTTGCATGTTTTATGTGTTGACCTGAGAACTAGCCCCGTTGCCTTGATATCTCGAACAAGTTGGCTTGATTTTTCGAACGATGAACCGAAAACTAGCCTCGTTGCCTTGATTTCTCGATCGATGCTTTGATTTCTAGAAAATGTTGTCCGTGTTTCTCAAACGACGACCTGAAAGCTAGCGTGATGCGTTGATTTCACGAAGAACGTCGTGAAAACTTGCCCCATTGCCTTTATTTCCAGAACATGTTGCCTTGGTTTGTCGAATGGCGATCCGAACTCTAGCCCGTTGCCATGATTTTTAGAACACGTTGCCTTGAATTCGCGAACGACGAACTAAAAGCTAGCTCTGTTGCCTTGATTTTCTAGAACGATGCTTTGCTTTCTAGAACATGTTGTCTTGGTTTCTCGAACAACAACCCGAATATTCATCAGTTGGTTTGTATTTTTTTTCTTAAATTCTATTTTAAAAGATGTTTAATATTTACATATTGTATTGAACTATGTTTATCATGTGATACTTCGGTCCGAACTCGCAAACTGTTTCCAGCGAATCAGTGCTCATTTTTTAAATTTCAAGAAAATATAATTATCTTGTTATATGAATTCACTATGATTATTTTAATAAATAGCTTTGATTATTTTAACGAACAACTAGTAAGGGAAAATGATCTGCATAATAGTATTATTATTATTATTATTATTATTTTTTGGGTAAATATCAACACTTGTCTTGATTGAAACAAATAACGAGTGTATACTAAAATTTGAATATAGTGCAATTAAAGGTTTTTAAATTTCCAGAAAATATTATTATCATGTAATATGAATCCACTATGATTATTTTAATAAATAGCTTTGATTATTTTAACGAACAACTAGCTAGGGAAAACGATCCTGCAATATAATAATAATAATAATAATAATAATATTATTATTATTATTATTATTATTATTTGGTAAATATCAACGGTTGTCTTGATTGAAACAAACAAGGAGTGTATGAGGCCGTCTGGTATACCGGCAACGAAGGGGCTCGTGGTCAACGTGACCACGAGCGTTGTCCGTGCACACCATCCCAGACTTTCGTGGTCGTGGTGGGAAAGACGGAGGACCACGGAGTTGCCGCTCTCAGCCGGCCCTCTTCTTCTTCCTCTCTCTCCGTTCGTGCTCGTCACTGGTACACCACCACCGGTTCGTACTTCGTGTTGGTCTTCGTAGTTGCGTTGCTCGTGACAAGCATTGCAGATGGCCTGATAAATCTGAATATAGTGCAATTAAAGGATAAGATTCCCATACATAACTTTTACGGTTTTATTAAAGCATTAGGTGTACCAAACGCATGTTTTGTCCTCACCTCTTTAATTAAAAGCATTTTATTCGATTACGTTTTTGGATTGATTCAAACTAGCTCATAGCTCGAGAATAAATTTATATATATATATATATATATATATATATATATATATATATATATATATATATATATATATAAATATATATTTATGTTATTTTATTCTAACTAATTATTGTGCGGATATCGTATGCTATGAAAATTACTAAGAGAATAAATTGTTTAACAATGCGAATACGTCAACCTTACAAAAATATCGTCATTTTTATGCATTCTTGCTAATTATTATTTATTTTTGTTCTCACACATCGTTTTTCACTCATTTTCTTTCTGACAGAATACGACCCAATAAAACATTCTGGCAACATTCTGACAGAAATAAGAATAATAATAATAAGTGTATAATAACATTATAGACGATTTAATTAATGAGAATGTGTGTTAATGGCAATAGTTATGTAAGATTGAACGTATTTATATTATCAAACAACATATTTTCTTTATCATTCTCATAGCA